GAAAACTTTCAGATCACATAAATTCAAGCCGCCCAAAGGAAATAAAAGTGAATTTGAATAAGAGATAAGAGGAAGATAAACTGTACAATTATAAGTTTAAGAATTACTTAATTAGTTTACTGCTTTGAATTGAGCTGTTGCACGTTAACGAGGAAGAAACTTGGATAAAATTACATAACAGTACAAATATCTTAAATGCCCCTAAATATATCCAGTCAGATAATCCGACCTGAGAAAACATGAGGTATTTTGGTGGAGCGGTAACTATCAAGATGAAATAAAGTTATCAAAGTCGAAAAAACGGTTAGCCAACAACTCCTAGTCATTTGGTCGGACAAAAACTAATCCGATGAACTTCAGTGCTGCTTTTTATATTTATCATAACGATCAACTGAAGATAACACTATAAACCGATATTGAGTAATCAAACTAAAAATTGTTCAAATCTCAAGAATAATAACATTTATCACCATTATCAATATGAATGAATTACATCAATGTGTGATAAAGCTAAGGTTTATTTAATTGGCTAATGATATGCATTTTATGAGGATGACAGAATGTAGGTATTTACTAAACACACTAATTTGATGTTGGCACATTTTCATGTGAAACACTTTAGAATTATAAAAGTTGGAATTTTTCGTCTAACTATATAGTAAGTACCATTAATTTAACCGAACACTGGTTCATTTTAAGGAATAGAAATAAAAAAGTAATAAAAAGAATAAATATAGACGACAGCAATTCCAACTATCCAATTGTTAGCCATATAATATCTCCATGAGAAAGAAAATCAAACTTTGCTTTGTATACCGATCGATTTAAGATGAATTTCCATTAAATGCAACTCATTTTCGACAGTTTTATTCAATAACTTTCAGTGCATGTTACTTAGTTGATTTTCACTATGATTACTTATTTTATGACAATCACTCATTTAATATAATTCCGTAATTTATAGTCACTGAATCAATAAGTAAATGAATTAGCTTTGATGCAAATCCAGTCCTTTTGGTCTCATACAATAAGATTAGTCTTTTGGAGTAGCTGGGATGAAGGGTTAGGAACAGACAAAGCTGTTGTATCGTAGAGTTGTTAGTCATCACCGCATATTCTACATTTGAAACACGCCTGGAACAAAACTGAAGATAATCATCCAATTTTCCAGTAGAAAGAATCCAATAATTAGTTGAATTGAGAATCTCTTCAAACACAATACAATAATAAGTATCTGCAAAATGATTAAAGATGACTCCGTTCATCATTTGCTTTTTTTTACTCACTTTTTACAATGTCTACATACTTTCTTCATATAACATCTAATTCTCTCGTGACTCAGATACAATTCCATGTGAACATTAGTTGTTGCGTCTATTTTGAATCAAAATGAAGATAACAACAAGTTTTCTTAACCACAAAATCATTGCAGTGAAATCTCTAGAGATTTTTGAAACGTTGTTTCGTTTGCATAGTAAAGACGATATTGTTAACCAAAAACCATGATAAATTTTTATGACTAATAATGTATTTTCTTGCTGATTCATATAAATTTTACTGAGCAGATAATTACCAAACTGCAGTATGCGTATAGAGTAGCACTTGATAAGGATAACAGATCTTACCCATCTGAATGTCTCATAATTGTTAGTCGACCTTTAGGCGTTATTTTTGGTGGTATGAAATAGGTGAACTGCAGGCATTGTATCTCATGATCTTTTAGTTGCTTGCTAACACGAACATGACCACTCCATAAGCGAGCTGAAATATCTGTCTTAAATTTCAAATCAGAAACATCTTGATAAAGTGATAAATCTGGATTCGGTGAAAGACACATGGCTTTTGTCTTGTAATCAAGTATATCCACCACTTGCCACAAAGCCAACACATCTCTTGGATCCATATTCCATCCACATAATGTTCCGTCTTCATAAGTACAATTTAAAGGATTACGTATAAGTTTGGACTTTGGTCGAATTAATAATGCAACTGAAAATAAAGTTGATTCAAGTCAATCTCTTTATTTTGATAGAATAGATAAGAATATTTCATTGACAAATCATCAAAATCAACAATCGCGCACAATATTGAAGCCAAGCCGAATTTCAAAAGGTAAGTTAAAAATGAAGGTAAAATAAATGGAAATAGAAAATGAATTTAGAAAGGATGTAGGCGGATTTCATAATTCACTTTGATTGGTAACTTTATTATTTTAAAATTCACCAATCGAAATCGGCATGATTGTCCAATTATAAGTCAAGGATCTAAAGTAGATAAAGAACCAATAAACTTGGAAATCAGGTGAGTTTTCAGTTTTACATTATATTTTGAAGGCATTCAGTTTATCATAAAAACTAATCCAGTTTTTTGGAAAAGAGAGATAATTCTTTGATTTATTTGTAATAACTGACGTGAATAATCCAGTTACAAGTATTATTAACTACAGACAAATTAATAATTTATCTAAAACCGCTACACCCACAAATAGACGTTAATAAGTAACAAAAAGCAGCTTACCCTGTAGAATGTTTCATAAGAGTCAAACGTACGTGAGGAAGATGCTTATTAAATAAGACGATATATTTAAAACCAAGACACTGTATCCTATTTGTTGGATGCGAACGCACTTGGCCACTCCATAAACGAGCTGAACCTTCTACAATCAACTTATCTCCAGACTCCACAAAAAATGGACTAGTACTCAAATGTAGGCAAGCAGCATGTGTATGAAATTTAGAAAGGTGTATCACCTGCCACCAGGCTAAAACATCTCTAGGATCATCATTCCAACCACAGAAGTTGCCTTCTTCAAAACTACAGTTGACAGGGTCATTTAAATACCGAATATCCGGGCGGCGAGATACTACACCTATAAAATTCAACAGATGATGAAACCTTAGTGAACATTATTGAGATTAGCCGTAACTAATAGATACATAGTCAAAACCAAGCCATCGCTAATGGAAGAAAAATAAGCAAAAGAGATGAGAAAAAGAAAGGCTTGAATAATAAAATAAATTATGAATCATTGAAACAGATAGCAGCTGATAATTCCTCAAGAGACTTTGTATAATGAAAATAGGATGACAGTAAAAAATGTAATTTTCAAGCTGAACTGAAGCACCAGATTGCTGCATCACTAGTATATCTCCAACTTGTGGAACTGAATGACTTTGGAGTAGTTGCTATTATATTTGGGGACCTAGAATTAGTCCGTTTGAATCCACATTTAGAATGAAAGTGTGAGCGACCCGAAAGAAACATAGAAGGGAAAATATGACGTATTTTTCGTGTATTATGAAAATTAGAAATAAAGTAAGTTGAAAGATGAAGAACTGATTTTCCTTCTATTCAGGTGAATATTTCTTACCCAGAAGAATGCTTCATTAAAGTGAGCCTTGTTTTGGCAATGTGTTTAGTGGTGATCATTAACTGAAAACTTAAGCACTTTATTGAATTGTCAGGATCATGAAACACATGACCACTCCACAAACGGGCTGAAAATTCATGAAGTGATTGGACGGCCACAGTTGGTAAGATTGATCGACTAGGTGCCTTGGATGGAAAAAATATCTTGTTCAACTGCATACACATAACATGTGTATGGTAGTCAGAGAAGTAGTAGACTTTCCATGACGCCATTTCATCACGTGGATCATCTTTCCATTTACACAGGTTTTTTTGTTCATAAGTGCAATTCACTGGATCTAGGCCAGGAATCAAGTTACACAAACCAACTTGAATATCTGAGAAGAAAAATATGAAATGTATGATGCAGGCAAGAGGCAAAAATAATGTAACCTTCAAAAATACACATTAATGTAATTAGTAATCGACTCTTCAATGCATTTTAATTTTGGTAACCGAATCACAATCAGTGATATGATCTAATATCACTAAATTAATATATCATCAGTTGAGAATTCCTTAAGCTGGGAAGCCTTATGAGTTATTTTCTAAAACATTCGGACTAAAGCACAGCAGTTTTGTGGACTTCCTAAACAGGAACGAAAATACGAACTGAAAATAAAGAAGACAATTAGGTATATGTTTGAGTCGTTATGAGTAGTCTTGAAATTCCTCACCCAGCAGAATGTTTTAGAAGGCTAAGATTTATAAGCGAATCATCAACTGAGTTACTAGTAGACGGGTCGACATTAGAATCGTGTAACTGGATTTTATACTGAAACTGAATACAACGTAAATCATTTTGAGGATTGTTCAAGGAATATTCCATGTAATCATTGTTTTCATTAGAAGTACTAACAGGTTCGACTGTTTCACTCCACAAACGTGCTGTTAGAGAATTCTGTTGAGCACCATATATTTTTCGAAGACGATAAGTGTGTATATTTCTTGGTTGCAGACATATTATTCCATTATTTAAATCCGTAGTCATATGTTCATGCTTCCAGTGAGCTTTGTCATTTCTTGGATCACCTTGCCAGTGACAAAATTCCATTTTAGCATCATCAAAATCACAATATAACAGATTATTCCAATTAGGTTGAGGCACATTTTCATACTCTTGACTTTTTAATTTAGGGAAATTTATTCCTATAACAAAGATGTACAGAGAAGAACATTGAGATCGAGTTAGAAGCCAAATACAGAAAAAAATGACCAAGCCGCTTAGCTTTAGCAAGAAAACAACAAAACTGAATAGAGCAAGATTTGTCAGTAAAGCATCGATGAAGTTGCAGAATGAACTCAATAAAACATAGTAAGTGGGAAGAAAGTGAACTGCACAAAAATAAATGTAAACTGTCAGCCATTGGTTAGCCAAATTCACAAATAAACAAGTTCAAATCCATAGGTCAAAACACTGCTTCATTGAATTTTTCAATCACCAGGATGTTATACAATTCAAAAACAACAACAAATAAAATAATACAGCATTCTTCTAACGGTGATTTAATCGAGACTTGATAAAACCCATTATTGTTAGAAAAAGGTTAGCGTGAAACCGATTCGTAAACAACTTCATTTTATTTCCTCACCCCATTTGACGACGTAATAACGATAGTTTCGGTAGTCTATCATCCACACCGTACATATTCAATTCTCTTTCACTCAAACTAATATGATCTCTCAATGAACCAGAAACATATTGTATGTTATATATCAACTGTATACAACTTGGTTGCTTCATAATTGATATGATTGGACTGAATAAACGAGCTGTTATATCGTAATCAGACTGATGGTTATTTGATTTTCCATGTAAGGATAAACAAACAGAATTTCTTTCTACAGTTGATATTTCACTATTTTTTGAAAAGTCTTCAGACTCAATCATCACCAGTTTCCAATTTACTGGCCAATTATTTTGATCATTACCCCAATTACAAGTGGATTTCTTGAATTCACAATCCAAATTCATATTCGTTTCTGATGAATAATCCAATGATTCAATTAGTTGAATAGCTAAAACGTTATGAAGTAAATATGTTTATTAGTTTATTAAATGTTTGATGCGAAGTTTTGTGAAGTGAAGTTGGTAGCTAGTGATAGTTGAGTTGTATTAAAAATGAATACTAAAGGAAAGTAGAATAAATTAAAAGATCGACAAGATCATTCATTGTTGCAACTCTTCTCTTGAATAATTTAAAAGTAATAGTGGTATTAGTAGCATAGTCATCCAATAAAGAGTACGTCTTACCCCATTTGACGACGTAATAATGACAATTTAGGCATAGTGGAAATTCCATCTGTTAAAATTTCTGATGAATCCGTACTAGATGTACGGCTGGAAATGACGATGGTATAAACTAATTTTAAACAAAGGTTATTGAAAGTAGAGCTCATTAGTGAACTAAAAAGTCTTGCACTTAAGTCCATCGGTCGAATTGATTTAGTTGCATCTAAACAAATAAGTCCAGAACTTTCCTGATTAAAACTTGTACTGAATCTATCAGTTAATTCAAGCTCCCAGTTAACAGGCCAATTATTCTGGTCATTAGACCATTTACACATGGATGAATCAGTAAAATTGCAATCCAATAGTGACTTGTAAGACTGATAATTACTGAACACTTTTGATTGATCTGAGAGCACCAAATACGTAGATGATGAATCAACAATAGCTGTGGAAAGATTGATAATCAAGAACTTTTTGACTATAACATTCGATGGGTATTATAAGAGAAAGCGCAGAAATAAGGAATGATTTAAGCCGTAGAATTCAACAACTGATATAGGGCAAATAAATTTTAATGTAAAAAGAACACTAAAGAAATTCCTTTTGGTGTAATATCACCAGTTGAGACAAAATAGAATAGTTATTTAGGAAGAGCAGTTTTATTTACTATGAGGTTAGGGTATACAATTTGATGAATAGGAATAAAAAATCTAAATAAAAAGTATAGATTTAGATAAATTGATAGAGAATAGCTAGATAATTTAGATGGATAGATTATACAGAGGTACATGTGGGTATATATATATGATCTCACCCTTCACGACGCATTAGTACAGACAATTTAGGCTGTGGCTGATTATCAGTCGGGTTTCGCAGTAAACCATTGTCTAAATGATAAGATAAACTTAAACACTTCGGTTTTTGTTGCTCAGATAATTTTCTCATTCGTATTAACTGACTCCATAGGCGAACCGTTAAATCAATCGCCTCCGTAGAATCATCATTAGAATCTTCTTTATTCAACTCCAGACATAAATGTTTATCTCCTAACTGATTATGATTATCAGTAGGTGATATCCAATGTTTCCATCGTCCACGCCAATCGTTTAAATCATGTTGCCAATTGCATAAAGGTATTAAAATACTGTCGAAATCACAAGATAATGACTGATCCATTAGTAAATAACCTTAATAAATAAGAAGATAGGAGCTGTGAATGATAGTTTTTTTTAGATAAGTTTGTAAAAAAGAAAGAAATGACAGTTATTCAGTGGGAAAAGGTTGAGATTATTTCTTGATAGTGTTAGCACAGAAAACATTTAGAAACGATAAAGGTTATAAGAATTCCAAGACTAGTTCCAGTGTTCAGTTTCCTATTCGACAAAGTTTTGACTCAATGGGTCCCATGTATATAACATTTCCCCACTGAGCCACTACTTCGTTCTCACGAAAGTCCTATTACAGCTTAAGACAATTCAATAGTTCGGATTCATAGGATGAGGTTGTATATAATAAACAAATTCGAAATTTTTATTTTTTATCTGAAAATTCACCAACTAAACATTATTACAGTCGGTACTAGTTAGACCTAAATTGAAATTCCTACATTCATATTAGTTTACTATACACATTTGATTTAGAATAAGAGGAATTTAGCTAACCAAATACACTATCTAAATTTCTTTTACCTACCCCCAAGTAAAATACGATGAATTCTGACTGGAAATACAAGTAGTAATTTCAGATTTAAATGTTTGTGAGCAGAATAACAATAGAAGTAAAAAAAGTTTTCCAAAATTTTATAAAGAAGTAAATGCATCTATACATAACTAAATACAGTTTGATGCTAAGAAAAATTATCTACAAGAGATTGATTCTTATCTTGGAAAATATATGATTGGAGTAATGTAACTATGAAACACTCTCAAAGTCTAAATGTAACTCTATGAATGGGATATGTAGTAGCCTAGTAAATAAGTAGCGTGGATCGATAATTCGCTGATTTAGGAGTCCAGTACTCAGCCAGTTGACCAACAAATTTAAAACACCTAGCCTAGACAAAGTTTAAAATCCAAATCTGTCAGTTAGTCATCTAACAGTACAGTGAAATGAAATTATTATAACAAACTCCAGAGAATTGGAAGTAGTAACAGTATCAGTAGTAAAAAATATCAAGCAAAAGCAATATAAGTCGAGAAGATTGAGTTTGTGGAATAAGAAGTATAAGTATTTCAAAACAAAGGGTAAATGAATAAACACCACTGCAACCGATTCGGAAACATATTAACCAACTTCTCCAAATATCGATTACGATAATCATCAGGACCCCAAGAAAGTAAGTTAACGTAAAATTTGCGAAGAAATTCACAGCATATACAACACAGTACATCGCAATATTCAGTTTTAAGCTGCTTGAAACCAGTCTAGAAAGAAGCCTCGAAGTAAATGAACCTTTTGAATTTGGGTTACAAAACCATTAGAAATCAATGAGTAATGGATAGATGTTTCGTCCTAGTATAAAATTTCTCACCGGTATGCACTCATGACCTCACTAAAGATCATAATCACAAAGCTCCAGAGTTTGCGGGAACTTTGGTTTAAGTTGAACTCAACAAAGTTCTAAGAAATAAATTTTGTGTTGGGTGAACAAATAACATTAATAACGTTTACAGGTTAACTTATAAGTTGTTCAACCAATTGCAAGAAATTATCAGATAAGAGAAATCAGACGAATATGAAAAAAAGAGTGAACAGTTGGTTTCATAATAAAGAAGGGATGACAAATTGAACCATGATTTAGAAAATTTAAAATTAACAGCAAATTTCAACATGCCATTTAGTAAATAAACATCCAACTGCCATAGCTAGTAACATAAGCATACCCTCGTTGTCGTTTTAAAAGAGCAAGACTTGGAACTTGTTTGACTTGCATATTGGGGTAACCACTGAAAATATTGTATGAAAATGTAAGGCATTTAAGATCTATAACATTCATTTTATCATTTAGACGAGGATTTCTAGGTATCGAAACAACAGGTGGACTCCACAAGCGTCCCACAAATAGATCCTCATTAAGATCGTTTTGTCTTGGAGTCTGAAAACAAAGGACATCTTCTGCAAGAGCTGATGACCCTGTCATTTCCGAAGGTAATACTTCTTTCTTCCATTTCGCTTGGCCCCAGTCATTTTGATCCATTGACCATGAACACGGTTGAGTGAAGTTGCAGTTCAGAAGAAACGGTGTGGACAAATGACCTTAAAGTGATGTATATAAAAAGTATACTGATCGACAGACAAATAAACAAAGAAAACTTAAACAAATTTTTCCAAGTCGCTCCAAAACAAAGTGAAAAAAGCGAAAAAGTTAAACTAACGAAGTATCATCTCACCCTCTTTGACGTTTTAAAACAGAAAGATTTGGCACTCTCCGAACTTCCTCCGATAATGGACTGAACACAACAATATGAGGGTAAAAGAAACGAAATGAAAAAGAAACACAACGCGGTTGTAAATCAACTGTGAGATTCATGGAAGTATCTACATCGTTCTCCGATGAGGATTCATCTAAAATGCCGATGGATGGACTCCATAAACGAGAAGTTAACGTTTCAGGTGTCTTAAGACTAGCAGATCTATGCAAACACATAGCTTGTTGTGAAACAACTTGATTATTATTCATTGACGGTAATTTATCCATACGCCATTTAAATCTATCCCAATCGTTTTGATCTACAATCCAGCTGCAGTATCCTTTGTAATCACCAGATCCACCGTAGCACTGCAGTAAATTCATATTACTATTTGATTTAGCTGCATATGGAACGGAACAAATAAATGGAACAATGTATTAATGATACTTTTCGAAAAAGCGTTGGTTGAATTCACTGAAACAAACAAGCGTAAGTAGCTACATAATCCGATCTATTCGGAAGCTATGAAATCACTTGAAAATAAAACCAAAATCGGAAAGTAAAACGAAATGATTCCGAGAAGTTAGTTCAACTTGAATGAAACACAACACATTCGGAATGACTAACACTACTAAGAAATTTATATTTTAATGAAGTCGAAGTGTGAAAAAGAGCAAACTTCACATGAAATAAGGTTAAGCACGAGGATTTTCAACAGCTAATGACATAAAACATAATCGGCATTGCTTGTTACTCACAGGATACTGCAAAAAATCACTTGGTTGAATTCCCATCAATAGGATAAACGGTTACGACTCTAAAAAGATGAACTTGAAAACAAATTTATGGATCTCAAAGCTATTTTAGTCGGAAAAATATCAAACATATTTCCGTCTGTGTATTTTTAGTTGCTCACCCCATTTGACGACGTAATAACGATAGTTTCGGTAGTCTATCATCCACACCGTACATATTCAATTCTCTTTCACTCAAACTAATATGATCTCTCAATGAACCAGAAACATATTGTATGTTATATATCAACTGTATACAACTTGGTTGCTTCATAATTGATATGATTGGACTGAATAAACGAGCTGTTATATCGTAATCAGACTGATGGTTATTTGATTTTCCATGTAAGGATAAACAAACAGAATTTCTTTCTACAGTTGATATTTCACCATTCTTTAAAAGCTCTTCTTCAGAACTCATTTCATTTAGTCGCCAATTTACTGGCCAATTATTTTGATCATTACCCCAATTACAAGTGGATTTCTTGAATTCACATTCCGAATTCATATCGCTTTCAGAAGAATAATCCATCGATTTGATTACTTGAATAGCTGAAAACACCATGAAGTGAGTATATTTATCAATGGATAAGAACTGGAGTAGAAATTTACTATAAACAATAATTACAAATAGTCACGATGAAACTTCACTCTATGCTTAAAGGGTGAACATAAAAAATAAATTTATGAGAGCATCATCTCACCCTCTTTGACGTTTTAAAACAGAAAGATTTGGCACTCTCCGAACTTCCTCCGATAATGGACTGAACACAACAATATGAGGGTAAAAGAAACGAAATGAAAAAGAAACACAACGCGGTTGTAAATCAACTGTGAGATTCATGGAAGTATCTACATCGTTCTCCGATGAGGATTCATCTAAAATGCCGATGGATGGACTCCATAATCGAGAAGTTAACGTTTCAGGTGTCTTAAGACTAGCAGATCTATGCAAACACATAGCTTGTTGTGAAACAACTTGATTATTATTCATTGACGGTAATTTATCCATACGCCATTTAAATCTATCCCAGTCATTAGGATCTACAATCCAGCTGCAGTATCCTTTGTGATCATCAGATTCACCATAACAAATTAATTTATCCAAATTCAATTTTGCATTTGCTGAATACAGAAAGTAAGAAAGAAATATTGAGCTGTTAAACGGCTTACGCAAAGAACAGTACACTTTATGTGAGAAAGTTGTGGTAACTTTCATAGAGACATAAATCGAGTTCATCAGAGAAATCGAGTAGTTTATGTACAACAAGAATAATTATTTGTAAAATTACAAAGTGACAACCTCTGCACTATCAAGGTTGAATAGAAGGCTAGTCAATATTG